AAGGCAAACGAGCAAAACCTACAACCTATAATATGAACTATTTTAAATAACAACAATAATACACAAAATAGTACAGTAATAATAAGTATTTTTTAAATGACATATACAATTGAAGCTTCTTGTGATTGATTTGAATGGTGTTTGAGTCCGGCGTTCACACCGACCCAACAAATTGCACCAAGGGGGTAAACGCTTCAGGGTTCGGTTCAACTGGACTAAACAAGGTCAGTGTGAACCCCCCCTTAGGTACAGAACTAATATATATATATATATATATATATATATATGAAAAGATTATATTCCTTTTTAATGAGTCATATGAGAAAATGACATAGCATGTTGATTAATGTTATTTTAAGTTATTTTAGGCACTTTGTTCATTTTGATGAACATGTCTAAATGAAAACTAAAAAAATATTGGATTAAGTGGATGAATATAAAAGATTTGACATTGTTTATTCAATAAATTCTGGCATGACAGAGAAGACGAATGGCCGCAGGTTTCCTCTGCTTTATTATTTCTCCTGTTTACAGGCTTATCATCTGTTTACGTCCGCTGTGCCCGGGGCCTGTTACACATTTCACTTAAATGTGTCATGTAGCCTGGTTTGTGAGAAAAAGCCAAACAAACTAAGAAACTAACACATAAAATACAACCTCCTTGGCAGAGGTAAAAAACAGTAAAGGACAAAATAATAAAAACAACTTCAGCACTACACTGCAGTAAATAATACTCCTTTGAACAACAAAAACACCAAGCGGTCATTCCACCAAGCTGGAGCTGGAGATTATGAATGAAAGACAATTTTTTTTTGTTTTTCATGCTGATGTCTTCTGCTCTGCCTCAACTCTGTGATTTTTTCTGTTATGACTCTGTCTGAACCAGCGCTGTCCAAAGCTTCTCTACTAAAGACATAGGCCTAAATACAAACATACTCCTGGAGCACCAAGCTTCCAGTCTGGGCAGAGTCAGCTAACATGACACCTAGCTGCACGGCTAACTGAGCTAACTAGCAAGCGGCATCTACCGTTAGCAGTAGTTCTATCGCACACAGGCTCTGCCCTCTACTGGACTCTATGGTTACTACCTCCTCCAATCACACGCACACACTTGCCCACTGAAATTTAATCGTGCACGTAGAGGGGGTGGCTGACTTCATGTCAAGAGCTGGCCCTCAACCGAGCGGGTGGAGACTGCACAACAATGTAGTTCAGCAGGTCTGAGCTCGCTTCGGGAGAGCAGAGGTGGATCTGTTTGCCAACACCCACTGCCCGCTGTGGTTCTCAATTCAGCCACAGGACAGCCCACCCTTGGGGATGGATGCGTTACACACGCATTGCCAGAAGGGCTGCTGTTTGCGTTCCCCGAAACCCCATCTCATCCCTCCAGTTAGGTGAGGCGGGAACGGTCGTTCGTCATTCTGGTAGAAGTGACGTAGCCTACAGTGACAGAACCCTGGCCTGTACCTATGGTCTGGGGGGCTCTGTCACAAGGGTGAGACTTCATATGCACAATGCTGGTGTTGGACCAGCCTCTCCAGGTTTTGCTCCTACAAGGGGGGAGAGGCAGATTCGTACAGACCATACAAGCGGCGGGCAGTCTCCACCACGTCTTGCTGTAAAGCTAAGTGGCTGGGCTTTCAGCGTTTATGCATTGAAAGGGAGACCGATCTGCCTACCTGTTCGGTGGGATCCGTTTTCTCTTTCCTGCAAGGTCTGATGAAGAAGGGGCTGTCACGCTGCGGGGTGTGAGAAGACAGCAACCGGTGTCGTGTCTCTCAGCGCTTCAGTAGGACTTGCTGCTTGCTGCTTCTAATATCTGCACCTTATGAGCCCCTGGAGCAGTCCTCATTGAAAATGCTATCTCAGCCCTGCGTCTTGCTCTCACCTCTGCTACGAAGGTGAGTGAGCTGTGTGCCCCAGCTGCATGCTGGTTCTTGGTATCCACAGTTGGTATCCGCTGCACTGTGGACATCACACCTCCTTTGTTCTTAAGAACATAAGGAGCATGTTCAGGTCCAGGACAATAAATCTGGATGCTTTTCACCCCCCTACCCCACTTAGGGTGAAGGGAGGTGAGAGTGCATCTGTTGTGTCCATGTGTGCTAGGCTAACGTCCTATGTAGAGCACACAGCCCCCATTCGATGCACTGGTCAGCTGTTCATCTGTTTCAGTGATAGTGCAGTTAATAAAACCCTGTCCAAGAAGAGCCTGGTCAGCTGGCTTTGTGAGTGAATCTCCCAAGCCTGTACACCCTTAGCGGTGCGCGCATGTTTCACTCGGAAGTGTGGAAGTGTCTACGACCCTTTTTCTCGACCCTTACGCACCCGTTTGTTTCTATCTCTCGGATATGTCGGGCTCCTTCTCGGGATCCTGCTCGCAAGTGCGACCTAGGATCTGAAAAGTGAGGATCTGGTGACTACTGGGTGTAGAGGGGGAACATACACTGGCAGTGCCTGACGTTCCAGTGAGAATTCAGGGCAGTCCAGGTGTTAATGGTCAGGCCAAGCCCCTATCGGTCCAGCGACCTTCTCAGGGGTGTCCCACCATTCTGTCACTAGATGATGTGGTGGTTGGGGCTTTGGCCGGCCTGTACCCATAGAGTCCAGTAGAGGGTGGAGCCTGTGTGAGATAGAACAAAGGTTACGATATGGTAACCCTAGTTCTATAAGCACAGGCGGAGCCCTCTACCGATGAGCCCTGCTGCTCTGGTGCCGACTGCGGAAGAAGTGGTCGGATGCTGAGGCAGTAGGGACACTGCTATTTATACGTCCCGCACGTATCGGTAGTGATGTCCTATTGGTCGGCTACGTGCACGATAAAATTTCAGTGGGCAAGTGCATGCATGTGATTGGAGGAGGTAGTACCCATAGAGTCCAGTAGAGGGCTCCGCCTGTGCTTATAGAACTTGGGTTACCATATCGTAACCTTCGTTAGTGGCTAAAGTAACTGCTAAAAACATGTAAAGCTATCTGTCCATCAGTAAACTCTGTAAATCAAAATCAAAAAGAAAATATTTTCTCCATAAAATCTGATCCAGTTCCTACAAATTAGTGAATAAAGTTAAAGCTGTGTTTTTGTATATTAATCAGTGGGGCCTAGTTTTGAATAGCCAGCCCCATCTCCACACATCGATTATAAGCAGCGCTGTGCCAACTAGGTCCTGCCAAGACCCCAGGAATGAATCCAATTTTCATAGTGGCCAAACTGTGGAATTACAGCTTCTGTTCACGTGATGCACACTGGCCCCAAGAGACAGTTTCCCATTGAGTTATATTGTGAAAGAAGCAGCTGTAAAATGGTGGACACATTTTTTTAGCAACACAACTCCCGTGTTTTGGTAACCCCCCAAAATGCTTCCTTTATAATAGGGTTTATATGTAATAATTTGCTTTCACATTTGTATGGATCCTTGCTCGATTGCTAAAATGTTCATGTGTAAGGTGCAGTAGTAAAATGACACATATCAAGCGTTGTGAATGTGGTGCAGTCAAAAGCAAACTTCACAAATCACAAATCTAAATAAAAACACACAAAAAAACAACAACAACCAAACAAACAGATTTAACTGTAGCCAGTAAATCCAATTTTATTGCAGATACTAGGGATATTCTCGAATCCGGATATGTTATTTGGGAAAGCATGTGTAATGTGGAAACGGGTGTTTCTTCTATACTCAAGGTTGCTCTGTATTATTCAGGGGAAATAGTGAGCTGAGGAATGTGATAATTAGTGTGAGAATGGAACTAAAGACATGTGTTAAATCAAGCTGCAGCAGAGAAGAAGCTGCTGGTGTCTGTTCACCTGTCGGTCTGTCTGGTCACTTGTCTGCTTTGTCTGTTTAAAGCTGCTGCTGTGTCCAAGTGTGTCGGCATAGTTAAAAAAAAAGGTTGCATCTAGGTTATGTCTATTTTTTTTATTGAGACAGGCTGAGCTACTGCCTATAATATGAACTGAGAATAGTCAAGCAAAGAAGTTGAACCGAGGGCAGATTGTTGAGGACTTTGCGGTACACAAGACTCACAGAATGATGTTCAGACAGGTGAGTACAACAACTGCGTTACCTGGCAACATAGCATTGTGCACGTGTGTGTACGTGTGTGTGCACGCATGCACTACGCGGTGTGTAAAAACTGAATAAACTGTTATATGTTTGTGGCTGGAGGAGTTTATATTGTTTATATACCTCTACCTGCTTTTGTGATGTTTTATTCTGCTGTTAAAGGGACAGTTATATCATTTCTGTAGCCTAAAGCCATAAAGGGCTCGGTGGTGTGATGTTGTTCCAGTAGTGTTGGACTGACATTTAATGCAATTGTAAATCTAAGCTCATTCCCTTTATCTAAAGAATATTTCATATAAAGAATATTTTCTATATGCTGTCAATATAACAATATTTCTATTTCCAGTGCCTTTGAGTACATTTGAGTACCTTTTTAGCACAATAGAAATATATGGTATTATTATTATTATTAAAGCAGATGTTTCTGATTGTTCAGTGTCCCCTAGTTAAGGTTGGGAGATGTAAATTTGGTGCATTGAAGGAAAAAAAATTGTATTGCCGATGAATATTAGGTTAGAAAACACAATTTTTTTCTCATTTTCACATGACTTCCTATATCAGCCACACCCACTTATTGTATTCTATCTGAATACAAAGACAGATCATTTTGTTGGTTGAACAGATACAGATAATAACGTCTGTACACCTCTAGCAGATACCTGTCTGTTTTGTTAATTGTATAGTTTTTACAGCAGCTTTAGATTTAATTCCAGTGATTTGCTGTCTAGTTTTCTTTTGTGTATGTTTGTGTGTCAGCTATTACTTAGTGTTTTTGGTGGGGGAGGTGATCAGTGATCTATTAAAGTTATTTTATTTGTCCTTGCTGTGTACCCTTTACATGTCCACCTTTTGTATTTTACAGTTACTGATGCTGCCCTCAAGATGGTGCCAATACTTCATATATAAGTGATAATTAATTTGGCTGAAAACAAATAGTGACTGCAGCCGCTACCATGTGCCTGTGTTTATCTAACCAATATACGGTTCTGCATGTATCAGTATGCATGTACCACGTGTACAGGTTGTAAAGCTGAAGAGACAAGGTTTTCCAGGGTATAATTACATTGAAGTTGTGTAGCGTTATTACAGTTAGTGGAAAAGCCCTGTGCTCTTGTTTGTTTGCTTGATACGTTTAATTTTGCATCTATAAGCCTCACTACAGCTCTTAAATCACTTAAGTCATTGGCCTAGAAAACATCACTAGTGTCAAGATTAGGCTTTACCACCTCCCCCTTCCTTGTGTTTTCTCTGTCAGTTTTGTCTGTCATGTCATGTCATGTCTTGTCTGTGTGTTTGTGGGCGTTTCTGGCTGCGGCTGCTGGATCGTCACCACCTGCAGAGTCTCGCACCTGTGGCTCATGCCGTAATCAACCCATGCAGCGCAATTGTCCGGCTCATCTTACACTCCTCGCCAGTTTATCTCCCGTGGTATAATTGCACCGGCCAATTCTTTGAATTTAAGTCTAGTTGTGTACTTTTGCGAACAGCTTCTAACGTCCTGTGTTTTTGTCTACTCCAGATGTTCCCTGTGTGTAACTTCAGTCTGCCTGCCAGTCAGGCAGCCCAGAACTGAGCTCAAGGACGGAATCGCAGAATCTGGAGTTCTCTGCCCCATCCCCAACCACCTGGTTTTCTCCGTGCACATTGACAATAAACCTGCCTGAGTTTTTGACACATGCCTTGTGTACGCTCTTGAATCCTTTATGGTGAAAACCTAATAAATAGTTAAAGAGGTCAGTAACATTACTTGTTCTTCCAGTCAATTTGGTCAGTACATTTTACCACCATAACGGACATGAGCTTAGACTAGTTGAAATATTTAAAAAAAATATTTGCAAATGTTAATTCCACAGCAGCCGCTATGCAAAATGGAAAGCCCAGTATAAACAGGTCCTGTTTTTTGATTTGAAGTATTCTTATGGATGTAAGAACACCTGCATTCAAAATCACACAAAATACTAGTACAGGAGTGTTCAGCTTATCTAAAATAACAGCTCAATCTCCCTGGAAAATGAAATGTTTCATTTTCCATTTATTTTTATATTTCCAATGTAATACGATCCAGTGAGAGCAGCAGTGTAATGGGGTTGGTAGCACAGCCTGCCAGCTGTAGCCCATAAAAATTATATTATGATAGAATCTGAAGCTGATTACAACATTTTATTTTATTTTATTTTATTACAAGTATTGAAGATTACATTGAAGTAATACATAATGGTATCAACACAATATCTGAAAAAAACAATATAATTAAAATAGACTCCTGGAGATCAGGTTCAGATTGTGTGAAAGCAGGTCTGTCTAGAACTGATCATGTAAAACAAGGTGTTTCCCACATAGGCTAAAAGCCTGTTATTATGCACAGTCAATTACACACTATACAGTTTGAAACAATCACCTTGTTAACCACTAATTCAACAACTATGTAATTAATCTACTGCAATCACTGTATTAACACTGTTTTTAAGTGGACTGATCTATGACTATCACTCCAAGGTTGTTGTTAAAGATAACCTTTCCGTTGGACTCTATACTACAGTCTGGGTGCCGAAGTAACTCCAAGACACCGGCTTTCAGCTCAGGTGAGACTGTTTTACTGAAGTCCAGCACCTCAGTGAGAAAATCAAGTAGCAGCTCTCCCCTCTCATCCCCCTCAGTGAAACACTCAGTGATGTCCATTTGAGATGGCAGCTCGTAGCTCTGGTAGCTCACTCCCTTGGAGTCCAGGATGCTTTTGATGTCTCCTGCGGTCACACACTGACTTATTTCTGTGTTACAGAGCTGTTTCCTGTAGGTATGCCACAGCTTTCCCCAACCACTCTCACCTGGAATAGATGAAAGTCTAAGAGTATAGGCATGTTTAGAGGCCCTGTGAGGCTGTATTTAGGCACAGCGGTGCTTTTAGCTAAATGTTAATGTTAGGGTGCTAACATTCACACACTGGCAATGATAATATGCAGATGCATGCAGGTATAATGTTGAGATAACAAAGGGTTCTCTGTGCATCTTACGGCAGTATGCAGCTAAACCAGGTGTCACCATAGAACATCTCAGCAGCACACATGATGTCTACCTGCTGAAATGTCCCTGTAGTCTGGCTGAATGAACTAAAGAGCTTTAAAGATTTGCATATTTGAACACAAAACTACAAAAATGCTCACAAAACATGGATTATGATGGCTCTGCAGCATCATTACATTTCTGGGGATTAGAAAATATTTCTCCCCCTTTTCCTAAAGGTGCGATATTATCAACTCACTGCTCTGCAGACAAGCGCATTAGATTTATACTCTTAACACAGTTGAACCTTTTGGCCTAAAGGAAGAACTACATTTGTCATGTTTCCTCTAACTGGTTACACTTGGATTCAGTACTTCAATTTATTTTTACTTTTCTTTTGTAACTTTAGGATATGTCTAATGTATGTATAATGCCAATATATTTGAAATCCTGTTCAACCAGTTATACAATGACAATTGTACATCTATTCTAGCCTGACTATATATTTTTTTGCCTTGTCTTTGTCCATTTTGGCTCTGATGAATACACAGTAATGTCAAAACGTTGATCTGTTTGCACTAGTAAAGGCTGCTAATCAATCACTGTGCCTCAGTCCCTTTTGGTCATAAACCAAAGTATTTGGACACATGAAATTTTGCCTTGAAAATATAATCATCAAAGTGATTACAATGCATCCCGAGGAAACATGAATGAGTGAACCAAATTTATGACAATCCATTGAATAGTTGGCTCATGGTGTTCATAGAGGAAAAGTCAAGAGATCCTTAACATAAATCATTTCCATGAATATTTTGGGCTAATTCATCTACTAGATGTTGAGATATTTTACTCGATAAGGTTATCCTGTTAGTGGCGCCAGAGGAAAAGCCAGGCCATCACCAACGTTAGTAGGATTTATCCTCTGTGAGCCATAAATGTCCGCATCTGAAATGTTTGTTATATTTCAGTCTAAAGTAGCAGACAAACCAACTGACAGACAACCATCTGGGATATCTTGGTAATTGCTGAAATCAAATTATTTTTAAATTTGTAATATTAGGACATGAATGTGGAACTTCTTACTGATCTTAAAAACAAATTTTAAATTATTTTAAATGGCAGTTTAAATTATTTTCCCACCTACTCCATGATAAATCTGTACAGTATATACCAGAATGCCTAAAAGGGGTTTTCAGATTTTTACTGAGACTCAGTGCACCGTGTTTTCATCCCTACATGCACTGTACACAGCACGACTAACTCCAACAAATCAGAGAGAAGAAAAAGATAAAATGTCTTGATAATTTAAGATTAGACCCATCCACTTACCAGACACTAGCATGATATAAGCTTCCCATTCTTGTCAAGAAGACTCTGGAAGAAGCTGATTGTAGCTCCAGGATCCTTCACATAGTACAGCATCTGTCGATTTCACATCAGATAATGAGCTGGTAACTGGATTCATAGAGCACCTAATTATAACGCTATGCTAGACAGATGTTCTAATGGGATTAATTGCTGTGGAGCGCCGCCAAATGAATATGACCCAGATGTGTCAAAAATGGGGTCCGGGAGGACTACATCGGCAACACCAACCTGTATCATGTGAATGAAGTCAGCCTTCTTAGTCATCTTTTTCACTTTCCAGTGCTCCTCAAACTCAGAGGCAGTCATCTTGTTCCAAGTGAATTTGATGTAATCTAAATCTGGTTTCTGTGCCACCAAAACTGCATCAACAGACACAAAACAGAGTTATGAGTTTAATTGTTGCATCACTGTATTTATACAATAATTTATGCCAATTAAAGGAGGTGAGAACTGGAGTGATGTGGGACCGACGACAAGTAGGCCTAATTGTTAACAGCCTCGCTAATTTTGGTTTCAGCTACCTTATGGAAACCTACACAGCCATGAATTTTCTGTGAACTGCTTATTCAAAAGAGGCAAATCTAAGGGCGGGTTCAACCTTGGAGCCTTTACCCCTTTGGTGTGGTTCATTTGGGCGGCTGTGGCTCAGGAGGTAGAGCGGGTTGGCCATTAATCGGAAGGTCGGCTCCCCCTGGTTGCGTGTCGAAGTGTCCTTGGGCAAGATAGTGAACCCCGATTTGCCCCTGGGGCTGTTCCGCCAGTGTATGAATGTGTGTGAATGTTAGTTTCCTTTTGAGCACTTAGGCTCAGTGTATGAATGTGTATGACTGGTGAATGCAGATGTAGTGTAAAAGCGCTTTGAGTGGTCGAAAAGACTAGAAAGGCGCTATACAAGTACGGAGCATTTACATTTACATTTGTTGTGAACGCAAGACTCAAATTCTGATGCGGATCGAGCAACCGCCCTGTAGTCCAACTCGAAGGGGTGTCAAAGGAAGTCTGTAGCGGTTCATTTCTGGTGTGAATGCCATTCGAACCAAAAATAGAAAGCGTACTATTGTATGTGTCATTTCATTGGTTAAAAAAAATAAATTCCCCCCCTGTTTTGGTGACTAGTAGCATGTTGGCTACGAAAATGTTGAATAGCAGTGGACATACCTGGACTCACGATGAAGTGAGATGCCACTTCAATATTTGGGCTGAAGGGAACGTTTCTCAGTTACTACAGAAGGTGTATAAGAACATTCAAAATATCACACAGTGTTATGTGAAAGTTAAAAAACTGCATCAACAGTACATCAAAGTACTGTATTATGAAAGTGTTTGTTTGAATGGTTTTGATTGGATTTTCTTTTTGTCATATCTAAATGTAATTTTTTTGATTTTGTTGCAAACTGCTTAGGCAACATTGTTTAAATGAAACACTGAAATGAGCTGTATTTGGAGGGATTTGTTTTTTGACCCGCCAACTGTATGACAAATAATCAAGGGCGTGGATTTTAGTAGGGGCATGTCCGACATGGACACTAAAGATTAAAATGAGAAACCCCAGGATCCTTTTATTATAATAACTTTTTGAATATATGTGTATGTGTGAATAATTGGTGGTAGCAGAAGCATGTGAAACTGCTGGTCAGACAGCAGCAGACCTGGAGCTAGTATGGATTCAGTGTTTTATTCAAAGACACTTCAGAAAGGTGGCTACTTGCTGACATGAGGGCTTGAATGTGGGACTGGTGGTTCAAAGACCATCCCCATACTACTACTTGAATAACTTTATTACTAATGTATTAGTGAGAAAGCCAAGGGCAACTTTAAAATGTATTCTCTGCATTACAAAATACAAAAAATAAAAAGCATTACCCTTATTTGCTGTTAAATTAAATATTGATTTATTATGGGGAGCAGGTAAATATACAGATACAGTATAGATTTGTGATATGCGAGATAAGTGTGTGTACCTCTGTAGTTATGTAGCTGCTGGCTGCTCGGCTCCACCACCTCGTTATCCACCGTCACCCCTGGGTGCTTCAGACGAAGCACGGAGAGCATCTCTAGGTCAATCTCACCTAGAGGCACAAACAGTTTTTATTTTGAAAACCACCTTTTTTATTGAACTACTGCCCCACAGTACCCAAACTGTTCAATAATTAAAAAACATAATTACATGGGTACATTTAGGCAACCAGCATGTCATCATGATCCTCTAATTCAGATTGTGCTGCAGATTTCGGATGGAAATAGCTAATAGCACCTGTCAGTTTTGCAGGAAATTATACATTTTATGACTCAAAACAGAGAGTTATCACTATGGTATTCCTCTCATTATCATTTAGCCACAGGCAGGTGATTTTGTTCTACTTCTTATTAAAAGGTGACAAGTTCCTTTGAACAAAGTAAATTTAAACAAAGAAGCTGATCTGGACAGGAACTGAATCTTTCTGATTAGGTTGAGTAATACCTCGCGGGGGAGTTTGTAGTCATTCTAACAGATTTTACAGTCCATTAGAGAATCTGTAACATCACTCCATTATGATACTGACATGACAGCTCAGGTAAATTAAAAAGGATTGGCTTTGACATAAGTGAAGGGTAACAGCACTCATGGGCAAGTAGTGGATTTGCTCAGAAACAAATTAACCTTGCTGTATCACGAGCGCTGGAAACAATGAGCAATAAAACCAAAAACTGGAGAGGTCGCTTTCTCTGCAACTAAGGTTAAAGATTAATCTGACAGCTGGACAAATGCCTGCGAACCCTTGACAGTGATAATAAGGGTAAAGTTTTTCATTGCCGCAGCCATAAATGACAGCACAGCAATAGGAGCAGTTACAGCAGACTGATCAAACAACGCCGTCTCACCTTTGCTGTCGGCCGCAGAGGCCGCTCAGCTATTTGCTGTGTCACATACAGTTGAACACAACATAACTTCAGCAGTGAAAGTGTCTTATAGTGTGTGTCCTTACCAGCTCCACTTCCAACTCCAATGACATTTAGATGGGGCTTTCCATCTCCAATGCTGAGAGCGGAGCAAAAAAAAAAAAAAGGAGTCACTTCAGAACAGTCAAGTCTGGAAATTCACATCCTCCAACCTGCCAAATGTGGGTCACATTTTCGGGCTTGTAACTGTCAGTTCTGCCTGACACTTAGATATCTGATCTAGCATCTGAAGCATCTGCAATACAGAGGCCTTGATTGTTGCTACAGCATGTTCTGTCACTCACCGTTGGATTTTAAATAACACTATTACACTTTTTAATTTACTTGTGAGTCATATCTCTCCAGATTCCTTTCTGATTTGCACCCGGAGCAGAGAGTTGTGTTTTTTCTCTGCAGCACGGTGTCGGCCTCTTACAGTTCAAGCTTATATAAACATGGAAAAATGCAAGAAGAGACATTTCCATAAACACTCACTCATTGTCATTCACATACACACACCTTGTGTAGCTAGTTAATCTATGAGCATTTGGGTAGTCAATTATTTGGTTTTGTGGGCATAAAAGTTACAAACTGCATGATATAACCCATTAATTATATCATTTTATTTATTATATATCCTGACTGTTAAAAGGTAAACTTTTGCCTTATGGTAATCTAGTTAATCAGCAACAAGTTATATGTTTACTAGAGTTCGACCCTCACAGGATTCTTGAGGAAGAATAACAATGTTTGAGAGTTCTGGTTTCTGGTAATGATATAGTGGCTATTATTTTTCTTTACACAAACAATAATAACATAATCAAACATTTCAGGATCCCTTAAATATGTTTAAAATGTAGTGATCTGGACATTTATATAATGAAAAATAAATGTTCTTATGGACAAACTATATAATGGTGACACTGTCTCTGAATTATCTCTACATATATTTTGTATTTTTTGTACTGCAACGTTATGGTACTTCGCCTACATGAATACACTAATATATCATATATCACAAGACAAGGAAAAAGCAAAACACCACAAATTAAATGTACAAGCTTTAGTGTGGTTAGCAGAGGTCCACAGATATGGAATGAGACTGTAATCCAAATGTCATTTGTGTGTTTTCACAAAGACCTTAAGGCAGCAGTTACCTTGAAAATGTTAAATTCTGAATACCCTAAACAGCTGGGACTTCTAAACTAGTTATTCTACTCTGATGTCCATTAAATTGTGAGGTAATTTCCACATGGCGTTTGTTATATTGCATCTCACTTATTTAACCAATGTTAAGACTGATGTCTTGTGACCATTTGGTCATTTTGTTTAATTTAGATGGGGCCTTTTTAGTTTGGTCTTAGGTGTTTTGTAGGTTGCAAACTGCAGGGCTCTCAAGTTTTATCAAAAGTTTGGAGTGAGATAACGCGTGTTAGAGGAGGAGCCACTCAAATATTTGCAGCAGCGGCCCCTCAGCCCCTCAGTTTTTACTAACAGTTAAATTTGACCTATAGTTTATAATTGACCCAAACAAATAGAAATTATAAAAGTAGGTAAATCTGATAAAAGACTATTGATACTTATATTTCAAAAATACAAATGTAGCCTATCAAAAAAAAAAGAGATTTGGCCCAAACGAGCCCAATACATTGAGCAGCGCTCAATGTATATATCGTTTTAAACATTTCATGGTTTCAGCTTTACAAACCTGAAAATTTGCTGTTTTAACTTGTTATTATTTAAATGTATTTTTTTGTGTCATTTCGTTCATTTCCTTCATTTTAACTAGGCTGGTTATTGCGGCGCTGCAGCCCTTCAGTGGGCGATAAAAAAAAAAAAACAGTTCTCAAACACAGAAAGCTGCCTGGCTTGCTCTAAATGACAAAGTATAATGCACATATTCATCTCTTGATCTTTCTCTATCATGGTTCTATAAAGCCCCATGGTGCCACAACCAAATTCAAACCATGTAAAAAACACAGAAATATGTTGTCAATATTCGATTAAGCCACTACTCCGGCTAAATCCGTCCATTTAAAAAAAAATAATAATAATATATATATATATATATATATATATATATATATATAAAAATAGTTTGGAGAGGATACGACCTCTGTGGTAATTCAACTCGGTAGAACCCTGTCAGGGCTCTGAAGTGGACCCAGAACAACTCTCATCAGCTGTTGGCTGTAAACACTAGCAGGACTGAAGTTACAGTGCGGCTGTGTTAAAACAATAACTTAGCACAACATAACTGCGCTATAATGACGTTATGCTTTATTAAATGTCACAAAATTATCAAAATAGATATTAGATATATGTCAGTCCAGTGACTGTTATCCAACAACAGACTTGCCTCTCATTCCCCGGTGCCAGGGGGGCCGGCAGGAATTTTGGGCCCCATGACAAAAAACTCAAATTGGGCTCCCTCTCCGCAGTTGTTGTCACCACATCTGTAGGACCTAACTGTCCCATCAAAAGCTTTACATCACTCTAATTAAAGGCTAGTAACGGTCTTGCTTCTTGTAGTTCAATACTAGTACTAGCACACTAAATAGTTCACTATTTGATGCAAGATTCAAGAAAGCCACCATAAAAAATGTCCTTATGGCAATCTTTTACAGTCTCAATGTATTTTTATTGTAAAATTAAGAGATAAATTCTCTTAACATTGATGAAAAACAAAAGCCTCCCTGTCCCTGTCAGTCAAATCTGCTGGCCACAAACCAGGGTCAACATCCTTTTTATGACTTCTGTCTTCTTCCACCATACATCTCCCATTCTCATCATCGCTCTAACTTTCTTTCCCTTTTTCCTTTGCTTCCACACTTCTTCCTCATTCTACCTGAGGGGGCTCTGGCTCTGTAGGATGTACACAATGCCTGTGATATATACATATATACCGTGATATATACACAGTATATCTATTAAAATATGCTATATACCAATAAATGACTAACACTATAGAACATTGACCCAAATTACCTACAGTTCTGTTTCACCACCACTTGATTAGATACATTAGATACGATATATTTTTGTGTGTGTGTGTGTGTGTGTGTGTGCGTGCAAGCTTCTCAAATAAATTGCCCTTCATGATGGGAATAATAAAGTCTGTATCTATAGATGTCATTTAACGGCCACAATTCAATCTAAATTAACATATCAAACTGGATTATTTTAATATTGTCTGTAACTTACATGCAGGCTGAGGTAAGCTGCTCACTGTTTCCAACTGTCCAGCATCCAGTACAGACAGGAGGTTGTTTTATTTTATTCATTTCATAATGGTCATTATGTGAGAAAATAATTTGTTTGAATTTCTGTCATTAATAAATATTTCATTGTCTTTTTTTGTTATGGTAAAAAGAGCAAGAGAGACAGAGAAATCCCCGCAGACTCCCTGGAATGATGCTAACTGGCATGTCATTAACACCATGCTGCTCACCTTCTTCACTGGGACAGGGAGGCTACAGTTATGGGCAGACTGGGCTGCTGCTGACTCACCTGTTAGTCTGCTAAAAGGGGCAGGGACAATGATTTAATATGAATATCTTGCTAAACGTTTCCTTGCACTGATTAAATGTTGATGAAATGTAGGCTAACACTAGTCTGCTAGCTAGCTTATTTCACTGTGGAGGCCAGCTAACCACCTTTCTTGGTGAAACACTGAGTTACAGATTGACATCCTTTCCTTTGTCTTTCCTCTCTCTCTTTTCTCCCTTTCCTTTTTTGAAAACCAGATTTTGGTTTACTAGGCAACATTGTGATCACTGTATTTCTGGCCTACTGACTGCAACTAAAGTCACTGATAAGTGCAGGACCAAACCATTTCATGCAGATACAGGGGGGTGTTCGGTCAATATGGAGGTTTACTTTTTGGTCAACGGGATATTTAACTTTTATTGCCACAAACAAGTAAAAACAAAGAGATCATTATTATATTTGAAATATACTCAATGATGATGGTTTATATAATGTATAATCTAATATATTGTATATTAGCTTTTACCTATTTCTTGGGGCCCCTGTCAATCAGGGGCCCTTGGAATTGTCCGAACTTTTCCCCCCTATACAGCGCCCCTGCCAGGTGCTGCCAAGTGAAGACAGACTCACGGGAGGACCCATGTGAGCACTGAACGATTAGTTCATTCCTGCTCCACAGTAGCCGAGATGTCACATGAAAAATGAACGACTCAAACCCAGAGACCCACAGTTATGAGTCCTGAACTAATCAATTCTGTTTCCTGTACTGCCTGCTTACCACAGCCTGTAGCCGAGCTGTCACGTGACAAATGAACGACTCAAACCCAGAGACCCACAGAGTCCTGAACTAATCAATTCTGTTTCTTGTGCTGACGGAGACCTTGCAGCTGCTGTGTGAGTGAACGTAAGAGTCCAAGACTATTCACACGAGTGAAAATGAACGAGTTACTCACTGAGACAACCCGTTCCTCCTGAGTCACATACAAGATTAGGTCAAATTAACGACACGTTCTTTGAACGACACAACACTCCTCTTAACTTACTTCTCAGCGTGAGAAATACAAGGTGTTATATTTCTTGTAAATCTCAACTTAAACATTAATGTAATGAAATCAAATATAAAACCAAAGCTATTTGCCACTGCCAGGGCTTCACCTTTTATCTAGCTTGTTAAAACAAGTTAGAGTCTGGAGCCACCATCATAACAGGCACCTTCTGAGCAACAGAATCTATTTTCTTGTTTCTTTTTTTTTCTGAACAGGTATCAGCAGAAACTCTTTTCTTTTATCAGGGAGCAGCAGAAACAGTCTATGTTCAGTAGCAATTGTCCTGTTAGAGTAAGGTGAAGTGGTCACCTCGAACACATGCCCGCCAGCCGCCGAAGTTGAATTCTCTTGAACTTTTTGTACGCGACGCGCAGCACAAATCATTGGAAGAAAGACTGATCCTCGCTCTTTGTGAGTTTCCAGAATCTATTACTGTTTACAAAACAGGAGGGAATTCGCATGGCAGAGCATCCCGCAAAACTATTTAAAGGCCTATCAGGTAAAGTTATGTAGCCTATAATTTTAATTTAAGTTAAATAAGCTACAGCTGTGTAGAACACAGAAGCCATTGCCATGGTTACTCTCCATAGAGCGCCTACCGTTTACTCGCAGAGCGCTTGTCTCCTGTTTACCTGAGGAAAGAGCAACCCCACGGGGCCAAAGACTACTTTGCAATTTTAAGGATGTTTCATAGACCGACATCTTCCCCAATGCTAATCAGCATGCAGTGTGTAGCTATCCACTTTGCTCTGGCATTTGATCGCTTGTCTTGCTTTAGTTTATCTACTTCTCCCACGCGCTGCATCCAGCGTAGTCTACCGCAGGCTGATCCACATCCCACCCCTCCTCTGGCCCATGGTTCGACTGTACGTATATTCAGAGCCAATGAGCAAGGGACTTTCAAAATAATAAAAATTGTGTTAACGTGTGATAAAATAATTGTTGGTGTTAATTAATTAGCCTAATGCGATAACACGTTAAGGTGCCCAGCCCCAAGTCATTAAATGAGGATTGCATGATTTCTTCAACACTGTGACATCTGTGCACCAACTTTCGTTTATGGAGAAACAGAGTCCGCCTCCCCTTGTTTTTCCTGTGAGCTCCGTTACGCGATCTGCACGAATGAGATTAAATCCCGGCAGGTAAAGTGCGCTGTCTGGGATGTGCTCAGTGAGCCAGGATTTGGTAAAACAGAGGGCGGCAGATCCGCAGGAGTCGGAATTAGTTCTGTTGAGGAGCAGCAGTTCATCCGTTTTGTTGGCCAGAGAGCGGACACAACAGTTCCAGGTTCGATAAAGAGCGGTGGAATTCATAGTTTTCACGTGACGTCACATTATTATTATATTATTATTACAGTGTTTTTATGTGTTGAGAGGAAACCCGCTTGACACTGTTCTTGATCATAAAAGTTTATTACATCAAAGAGTTCAGCATCAATTACAAGCTCTGCAGCAGCTTGGAGAGTGACCCAGCCCGATGTCTCTCTGTACATCAGACACAGCTTATATAGGATATGTTTAGGTATCTGTTCCATAGAGGGGTTTGAGTCTGCAAAATAAAAGGTCAAACCCATTGAAGGGTACAGTACAATTCTGAGGTAACAAAACAAGGGGTTAGAGGTCAAATTCTATAGAAGGGTTCAGTCCCTACATAACCATAATCTTCCCATAGAAGGTCACTGACCCTCTGTCTTGCTGCTACAGTGCTATTTTGAACTGTTATGAGTCAAATGCACAAATATTGTATACCACACTATGGAGCGTAATCCAGAGGCGGCCGTCTGCTGCGCCATCTTGGTCTCAAGGGGCTTTGCAGCCTATAAGGATGTCCATTTTCACTCATCTCCATTATGTCTTACATGATTAGGCTATACTTATATTTTAACTGTTTTGAGAATAAACTGAACAGAACTTTCATTACTAAACTAATATCAGCCATTATATCAGTCTTGCTCTTATGTAGTCTTCATTTATTTCACCTTAGCACCAAAATTTAATTTATCTATTGGTCAACCAGGTCTCTTTACAAAAGTTGTGAAACTTCACTATAACATTATTGTACAGTATATCCCTTAAAAAGCTAAACCATTATGATATATTCTTGACTCTGATGCTATTCTTTTCTGTTGTCAAAGGTGTGGTAACCTTAAACTCATAAAAAGTGTGCGTGTGGCAGATTACCTGGCCAGTATATCTGGCAGCATATTGTGGATGAAGTCCTGCATACACTGATGCTCAGAGGAGCGCTCCAGAAAAAGCTGGAAGGATTTCTGGTACCTGTTATCATCATAAACCAGACTCCTAAGCTGAGATGCCATGGCAAATAATCTGGCAAAAAAAAACAATACAGAAAATAGTTCCATCAGACAGCAAACAGGAGGTCAGGAGGTAATCTGCAAAATGTGTGTGTGTCTGTGCGTTTATTTCTGTACAATTTAGGTTTTATTTTAGCTCCAACACAGTTGCTGTTGCTGACCCTTATACCCCTCACCTATCAGTCAACTAGTGTGTGTGATGTCTAGGAGTTAAAGTCAGGCTGTCAAATGTCTCATTCTAAGACTCACTGTAGACTAAATGCCACTTATTTTCAAGTCAGTTTATAATAGATTGTAATTTTACAATGGTTTGCTTTCATACTGTAGTACTACACTCACTTAATTTACAAAAATACTCAAAGCCGAAGTCAGCGTGTGCTACAAGGTTTTCATGTTTTAGTCATCAGTACTCCACCAAGCCAATATGAAGCCAACTTCCCTCTGACGGATTGTTATTATTCTTGGCTACAGGTGTGCTGTACACGAACATTGTTTCCGGGTCCAGCAGTTGCATGTCATATCTTTACAGTCGTGACAGAGATGCCTATGTATTTACAGATAAACAGCACCATACAGAAATCAGTCCCAGTAATCGCGTACCTCGACATGTTCACAGCTGATCGAAGTGCAAACAAGCTGTTGCTCGCTCAGTGGATGTCACACTGACTGTTTTACATTGTTATTCATTGTACATGTGGTGTACGTTCACATTTCGAGACAAAAGGCGCTATTTTTCCACTTACATGTCGTGCCGCAGCGAGTGCCTCCGGAGAGATCTGCAGGCTACAATAAAACCCCTCCCACTGCAGCCACAGCTTCCCTTAAAGGAGGGCCAAAGGTTGAAAAGAAAATATTCATAGTCTATCCAATGATGTAACACTACACTACATACAAGTCCTTAGGGTTGGCTTTTTTACTTTTTTTAACCACAAACAGCCCATCCAATAATTTACAAAAGTGAAAAATTTTGACTGTTTTTTCTCTCACTTTGTTGATTTTTAAAATCGACCAATTCGTTTTTCAATGATTAAAAAAACAGGAGACACTGGTTACACAAACTGGTGACACTCCCTCACTTCTTTACAGCATGTTTTGATTATACATCCCTAGCAAGCCTATATGGCAAGCCAAGCAGTTCAGAAAAAGGCTACTTGATTTGTTGAAAACATGGTGACAACATGTTAACAATGAAGAAAAGATTGGTAATTGTAGTCATGCGATTGATAGTGCTTCCATTCCATGTCTATTGACTGCCTGGAGGGTAATCAATGTCACTTTACAAACCTATTACATGCACAAAAAAGCTATATAATTCAATAAAGGCAAATATGACCTCTTTAAATGAGCCTCTGGGAGAATGTAAACAGGAGCATCAAGATAGTGATCATAATATGGTTTTCATCTTTCACATTTAGGAAACAGTGCCCATCAACTTTGACTGCATTTGCGCACCAAGAATCACCGCTGTAAACAGAGTGTGCCTCCTCTCATCTTGCCAGTCTTGAGGCTCTGACAGCTCGGAGCATGGTCCCCAAAGCCATTGCTGGATCCAGGATGTTAATGGAGCAGGTCTGTGTAAAGAGTGGACACAACAATCTCTGATTTCCCTTTGCTTGGCAGCCCGAGTCCCATTTTGTCCAGACTGGACTTTAGCCAGGAGCAGCCTTAAATCCAAGACAGGCCAGCATGGCTCCTATCCCGGCTCTCTTTCCTCTCTTCTGTGGCGATTACAGTGCCCGCTGTGGTGCCTCGTCCGGTAAGCATAGGTAATACCTGTTTCAATAAGTGGGGTATTGCGTTGGGAGCAGCTGAGGGGAAATAGACACAGCTATGGCTCAGAAGTAATAGAAGAAAAATATTGTGAGAACACATAATGACAAACAACATATTATGAGGGAAATCAGAAGTATTATTCTCGCCAACAAGTATCCTGGATTGTTACAGAGTAACCTATTAAACACTTCACAACAGCCAGAATTTATTTTATGATGTGGTGTATAACATATGTGCATTTGACGCATAACAGTTTAATTAATTTGGTTCAACTGTTGTAATTGCCCCCTGGCCCAAGATCATGTAAACGGTCTGATGGCTCCTAGGTTTTAGCAGCAACATTCTCTCATTATCTGACAGTAAAATCATGGGTCTAGCTCTCAATCAGTTAAGTTTGTTTATTTGAATGCGCTTTGTATTTAATTTCTCCACTTTGCCTTTGGTTTGCATTCAGGTAGTCAGAAGAATGTAAGTGGATGCATTGTTCAGACCTCATGACCTGTTCAGATCATAACCTTTCCCAAATATTAAAATGGGCACTTTGTAAACAAAACTATATTTTTATGTTGATGAATTGATTTATTTTTTATTTATTTATTGACAAAATTATTATTGTTGATGAAACTATATTTAGACTTATAAATGGAATTCAAGCTCTGTATACATTTATTTTGAATATTTGAAACCCGTAAGGATATTTGTATCACGAACCTTGGTCATACATTTACCCAGCTCTGTTCGGGTGGTTGGGACCATGAAGTCAGTTATCTCTGATGGTTGACGTATTGTGGACCAGGAAACTGAATACGTACTGTTGTAAGTAAAAAGGTACAGTGGTGTGTGTTTATGCAACATTTACAAACCACAATGCATTATAGAATATATCCAGATCTTTTAAGTGTAAGAAAGCATGCATATAAATTACATCACCACAAAAGATACTTTTTAAGTCTTTTTCTAGCAAAAGAGGAAAACTTTTTTTAAACAATAAAAAACAGCCAGATACCAAGATATATGTAAGAGGTCCCTGGAGGTGTGCTATCTAGTGTTAAGACTATACAATCAAGGGTGGAGGAGTAGGAATGTGTTAAAATAGAAAATACAATTACCTTACATAACAAAAAAAACCTTCTGTGAAGAATAAAAATACCTGTAATGGACAGTCTGAAAACAGGACAATAATTCTCCAGGACAGAGGGATCTGCACCTTTTAGTGAAGAACAAACACCTGGGGAGCCTGGGGATCAAACAACTGCTTAGACAAAGAGTAACGATGGAAGGATTAGGATCAGATATATCAATTAAAATAGTTGTTGGTGGAAAATTAACATTTAGTATGTTTGGATGTATATCTTACAGATATAGAATAAATAAAAAAGAATATCTCATGCTAGTATTGTATAGGTAAGTGGTTTCCTTCTTTTCAACTGTATTCAGTGTTAATACACTACTGTGATCAATTTCATGGTGATATTAAATTCCAAGTTAGTGTTTAGAATTTTGGTGGTGGGATTAACCCTGGTTTACATGTGCATTAAATAATGTGCTTGTCAGAATGGCACAGTGCTCAGGTATAAACAGGTAGTTGGGCCAAAATGCAGACACTAAAACAAGCCTGGATCATTTTTCTGGATTGGGAAGGGAAAAAACTTACAGTGATGTCCAAACGAAAGACAGTCCATACAAAAAAAAGGTAATCCAAAAAGACAGAATAGTCCTCCTAACACTGGTGTTAAGCTCCTGAGTTTAGCCCACAATCACTATCATGCACCTTAGAGAATTTGCCTTGGATTGGGCGTATTCAGAAGAAAACAGCAGAGTGATTTTTGATTATTTATGACATTAATTTCAGGAAATTGTTCTTCTTGTAAATTTCATGCTTTCATCTAGAATTTTCTAGGTTATTAACCCCACCCTGGCTCCCTATTTTTTGGACACGTAAAATAGTCTATCTAAATTTGTGAAAACACTTAGGAATTCAATTATAGATGGATGGACTTCATCTAAGGAACTGTCCCGTTAATTAATTAAGATTCCTCTCTAAAATCACAGAGGCTGCAGGGCTTGCTGTCTGAACGTAATGATATTGTGTTCAGAACTTCATTGCAACCATAGTGGAGCAAATCAGGATGAAATCTAAACATATTTTATGAAGTGGTGTGTACTAATATCCTACTTCTCATTAACACTGAGTACAGATGTGGTGTGTAGTCCACGAACAAAACCTGCTCGGAGCAGTTTAGAGATGCAGCGTAAATTGCCATGGCAACAGACCTCGGATAACACTTATCCTGAAGTTACCTAGATGAGTCAGTTACCCTGCTTCATAGTACAGGCCACAGGCATGTTCAAAACAAAACAGGGCACAAACAAGACCAGACCCACAACATACCAAAGCTATCTAAATAGGCGCATGGACACAAATAAATGGTACACAGACAAAAAAGAAGAAAGGCAGGGAAACAGACTGAAACAAGGATCAAAACACAGGACAGACAAACCAGACCAAACATAATGGAATAAGCTACCAGGCAGAGAACTCAAAATAACAGTCAGAACAAAGATAGCAAAACTCAAAGCAGACAGACAGAATCGTGACAGTGCTTCTTTATCTTTTTATTTATACAGGTATTAGCTGGTGATGCCTGTAGGCCTAGCTACTAATTCAGCATCTGTTAACAGGATAAAAGGTTTAATACATCCAAACACTTTGTTGTTATTATAACTTTTATTAATTGTCACCCAAATGAGGGCAATGAAATCACTTGTAACTTCCTCCATTGTCCTGGTTTTCATCTTATGCCAAGTACAGACAACACAACTTTCAGCGTCCGCAGATCACCGTGTTGTACAGAATACGAGACTTGCTGTCTTGTGACGGGAGTCTTGAAGTCATTGTGGTGTTCAAATTATGTGACTGACCGGTGACAGGAGGGTTACACCCTACACGAGCTGGCAGCAACTCTGTCACTTGACACTTGAAACTGGTCTCCAAACCACGTTTTGTCAAGAAAACATGTGACTGGGGAATGACGCGAAACAACGCGTGGAAGAGGGTTTGTTTATTATTAAAGATAAACATTATAAAGACAAAGAATATGAGTGAAATAATGGATTATCACACGCGGACAGCAGAAAATGGCTGTGTTACAGACAGTTGGAAGTGAGTAAAAAATGCTTTGAAGTGAAAAAGTAGCAGCCTGCTCAGCCAGCTGCCTCTCTTCATTGGCTAAATGTGGATGTCGGTCAGGTGATGGCTCCAGATATTTAGCATGTTAGATATCTGTCTGGTATCGGCGATGCCTCCGCAAGCCTCCTTAATGCATCCTTGAGTAGTTCACACGTAATGATTGGCGAGTGCCAAATAGATTTTCCCCCCATCACAGCCTGACAGTTAGCAAGCTCGGTGACTTGCAAATCAGGCCCAAAATCATGTAGTGTGAACTAGGCTTTACTCAAATCAGGGTTTGCATTCTTTGTAAAGTGATAATACGTAGATCATACACAAATGTTCTAATATTATACTGACTATCAAATAGGGCGACAGAGTGTGACAATAAAAAGTAAAATATAACAGTAAGGCAAGTAAAGTAGTAGAGTAAAGTAGTAAAGTAGTACACTACCTGAAGAAAATGCTGCAGCTTTAATTAAAACACATTTAGAATTGTGTTTGAATGTTTCTGTTATTTAACATATTGAAATAATTTGTTAGACTGTGTGATTTATTCTTATCAGGGTTTCTCACCCAAGTACCTAAGTTAAAATCAGGCATTTAGGCCAGCCAATCATTTTTTGCCATGCCCTCTGCACTCTGTATATTTTCCTGCTATTTTGTCCTTTGCCACACATGACTGATGTGTATTTGTGTGCACAGTGTTGCCATTCATTTCATTATGGTACTGTATGAAAATCAGCTTTTAAAATTTTGCTTGATT